CTCTAAGGTGGCCTCCAGTCTGGACTCAATTGCCTCGAACCTTCTCACAACCTCCTCGGCTGTGAGCGGCGCCATGCGGTTTTCCCAAACCTGCAACAATAAAGAAAATCAGCCGTGCCTGGTTCAACTACTGGATCCCCTGTCGTATTTATGCAGCGCGGTCGTGTGAGCTCATGCGTGGGGAGTCGGCGGGGCTTCAAATGTTTTGGCGCACATCCAGTCTGGATTAAGGGCCGTTACCTCTTCTTGCCTATTAAAATTGTTGTCATGTTTAAAGATCTCAATGGCCTCTCTGGTTAGTCTCGGGTAATTGGTCTTTGGGATTTTCTGGTTACCAAGATATCTAAAAATGGCAGTCGCCCATCCTTCTCCACTTCCATAGTGAACTGTATTTCTGGGTTTATTGAGTTGAGGTGCCTCAGGAAGTCTTTAAGTTCAACCAAACCATGGCCCCAAACAACAAAAGTGTCATCAACATATCGAAACCAAGCCTAAGATTTCCTCGCGGCTGTGTCCAGAGCGTTCATCTCAAAGCCCAGAAAACATTTCTAAATGTGATTTTAAAATCATCAAATTTCAAATTTTGAAATCAAATCATCTGTAATATTAAACCTATTCCACAATAGCCACCCATTTTTTAGTTAGAAAAAAGTTAACTTTTTTTTAAATAGCTTTTCATACATAATTTTTCTTTGATAATAATTATTTCGGTTTTTTGTAAAACTCTATCTATATTCCACAATGCGTATAATGATGTTTGTTGCCAGCTTATCTGACCAATCAAAATTGAGAAAATTTTGACGGTGTGACATGCTCGCCAACGTCAGTTATTTACTATTGTGGCGGAACTCGTACTAACCTTTGGTTTTAAAAGAAACAGATATCTAAGAATCATGTATTTGTCTTTATCTAAGCTAAGAAACGGTCGTTTATTACCTCGTTTTCTGCTGGTACGTATTTGTTTCCAAACGGATTATAGATACTTATTAAAAATTAGTTTTTGTTTTTTTAAGCATGGTTCATTGCTTCTGTGCCCTATTGAGGTAAGGTAATGTACTAGTAAATTGAATACAGTTTACTGCTTTTACTGCTTAAGGATATTCATTTACCAAATTGAAAGTAAAAGAGTAATTTCATTTATGTAGTCGCTTTCCTTCAGCACTTTATAATGAATCGTAAAATAAGTCTATGTTCCTTAAAGAAACTGAAGTAAATGTACCTTTCAGGAAAAATGGAATAGCACAATGGAATCCATTGCAAATTGCGAAAAATCAAGGCTGCTATCGCTCAAGCAAAAGGAATCCCTGATAGAATTTGTCCACAGCAAGTCCCAAATGACAAGGCTTATTCTCGTGTAGAATTCTTAACGAATGTATATTTAATGAACAATAAAACACCATCTCCACCAACTATGTACAAAGATTTTCGGGACTTCTAAACAGCCTTACAAATTTATGGTCTGTTAGATCAAAGGATATCTTGTCCCAGGGATGTTTTGAAACCCCAAATTATTCCATAGCATCATCCATATCCTCAGCTATCATGTCATTATAATATTATTGAATTTCTCATCTTGCATTTTAAAACTAAATTAAGCACAACTTGTTGAAAAGATCGATACACCCGTTCCTCAGATCCAAAACCTAAACAAATACTATTTGAGGTTGGAAAACCCGGGGAGATGCCCTTTCTACTGGGTCGTACCAGTCGATCATTCCCGCTCCCTGGGGAACGGCTCCCTCTCTCAATTTTTTTTCAAGAATACCATTTTGGCCGACTGTCATAAAACCCCGCCCGCTTCTCTCGGCTGTTCTACTCCCTAGTCGTCAAGAATAGGTACACTGATTGCATTTGCAACCTCTTCTGTGGTGATAGAGACCCGTTTGTTTGGCTTCTCCAAAATGACTCGGAACTCGGAACGAAAAATATCATCTCAGAATGAATTTAAACAAACCAACATCCATGGTGATCACCAAAAAATGAACATTACCATAAAGTTGATAATTAATGACCAATAGAAAGATTTCAACACTACAAATATATGGACACAATAATAAATTAAACTGCTGAACAATTGCAGACAATAAAATCTAGAATTGAAATAGCCGGAAACTCTTTCATCAGGCTTCAGAAATTCTTGTGCAGGAAGGCAAAGACTGGCGGTGCTATCGACGCATTTGCCAATCTCCTTGGCTAATAAAATTGCAAAAGTCGAGGATCTCCATCGCGTGAGCAAAAGAAAAGAAATATAAAAGACACTTGTACACTTCGTACATGTTGTCAGAGAACGGAAAAATCCAGAGAAAACAAAGTCAGGGACGAAGAAAAGAACCTCCTTTGCTGAAAAAACCTTAGAGAATGGTTTGAAACGTCATCGAGCGAACTATTTTTTGGTAAAAAGGAAAATACGCTTACCGTTCTTGATGGGCCGCCCGGCGATATTGGCATATTTCTATTTTAAGCTGGAAATAAAAAATTGATATTATTTTGATTTACTTACTACGAATTTACTTTATACTTTATTACTGCCTGACGGGCCTCCTTTCTCTTCTCACACACATAATTTAAAATGGTCAGTTTTGTCAACATCCGGACCACCTAGTGATCTTTTCATAATATGAAAAAAAAACTCGAAAGCATCACTTTTGGTAGGATATACAAAGTTTAATATTGGGTCTGAACATGTTATTATTAATGAATTATCAAAGAGACTACATCAAACTAGATGTTCTTCACAGGGCAGTCGCGCTTGCAACTTCAATAGCGGCGTTTTATATGACGGCCATGTGCTTTCAAGCGTTTAAAGGAAAGTAACAGCAAAACTATTCCTTACTTCCACTTAAAACTGGTGCGTTTTTGGGATTTTTGGCCGTTACAAATTAGAAATTATTCCTGATGTTTGAACTGAAAATTTTACCAGTAGTAAGTAACGACCGCGAAAGTTCTTTGAATTTTTTTTGCAATTTCCTCAAACCGAGTACATATGCTGAAAATGTATGCTGTACATATGCTGTAATGCTGTACATATGCATCTTTTTTTTCAAGAAGACTTTATTGTTTGTAACGATAAAACGACGTTTTCGAACGCTTTGGCCGCTTCTGTTCAGTTTCAGGGTCTTCCCTTCACCTTTCTCTTAACACTCGGGAACAGGAAAACAAGAGGAGGAGAACATGAAGACACAAAAAGTCAAGACTATACGGCGGACTAGTCATTAATTCCGCCTTTTCATTAGTCAAATTCGATCGAATCAGAAATTTGTTAATTTTTATAAGATATGTGTTGCGCACAGAGGACTGAGAGCACCGCTTATCTAAAACGCCGCCAACGAGACACGCTCCTGTATAACCAAAGACATATTAATAAATAGACCAAGCTAGTCACTCATAAATCCATAGATGAAGACAAATGCATAAATCCCGATTTGTTTGGGTCCAACATTAAATTCTATCGATCGGCGATTTATCAATAAAAAACAGGTGGTAGGGATAAAGTAGGTGCCCACGCATGTTTTATAGACAGTAGAATTAATCCAAGGACACGCTCGCCTGGCCACTAGCCATAGGCGTAGTAAATATTTATTTTAATTAATTTATTGTGACAATAAAATCTTTTTTTGATTTTCTACCTTCATATCTTCATTACATGCTTGAAGTTTGACACAACCATTACATTGAAAAACTATTTGAAAAATTGAAACCCGTGGAAATGATTATCTCTTTTAATGGTCGCCTATGTTAATTGAAAATTATACTTGCCCGGTTTCTCAACATTTGCCCTTATTGGTTCCATAACTATGTAGTAGATAAAGTTATAAGACCGATAAGATTTTATGGGTTTCCGAACGGTGACAGGCAAAGTTATATCGAGCTCATAACAATCCGTTGGATAAGTACCTTTTTAATTCGACCGACAGAGGGAACTGCTTGATAGGGTATGTTCCATTTTTGACTGGTAGTACGGAAGGTGCGAAATASCAGTAAAAAAGAAACGGTCCCTAAGTAAAGTAAAACTATTTGAAAAAACTTAGTTATAAAGACTGAATGTTTTCTTAGAACATAGAGATAGCCACAGACATATCTCACCACAAATGAAGATTTTAGTTTGGGATAGAACTATTAAGGTAGCAAATTACCTAATAAGATAATAACAACGCGTTTACTAACCAGTACAAGCTGTGAAAAAATGTGTTTGAAAAAATGTAAAAAAACACATTTTAGGTAGATGCGTTCACCAGTTGTGGTACTATCCAAGTACCTACTTAAACAACAGAATACTATTAAAACAGTCACTGGTTATATCTAAGAATAACGATAATTAAAAGACGTTTT